GGCTTCTCCACTTGGCCCAGCCCTGCCCTGCACCAGCCTTCCAGAGCTGAGAGGGGCTGTAGTGCTTACTGAGCCTCCCCTGACAGGCCTGAAACTGGAGGCTGTTATGGCTTGAAATGGCACAGTTCCCACAGCCTTCTATAAAGGAAAGCAGTAGTTTCTCTGGCCTTATAGGTTATCCCTGGAGTTTCTGGCAGAAATGCTATTGGGCCATGTCTCAGCAGGAAAGCAAATTAATAATTAAAGTGATTTTATTTATTTATTTTAAGAAAGGGTTTTAGGTTGCCCAGGCTGGTCTCAGATTCCTGGGTTCAAGCATTCTTACTTCAGCTTCCCGGCAAGCTGGGACTACGGGTACATGCTACCACACCAAGCTATAGCTGTTTATGTCACATGGCAGTTACAGGGCACACTTACTCTATGTGACTGTTTTATATATTTTACTCACTTAACCCACACAATGCCCCTAAGGAAGATTTTCAGTTTTACAGACAGGGTCAATAAGGCAGAGGTTAGGAAGATGGCCCACAGGTAGGCATTAAATGGTGGAAAAGGGGTTGGAACACAGACAAAATGAGGGACTGCAGAGTCTGGCCTCTGGGTATCACAGTCCACAACATGGATGGACTTGGCAGTACTTTCAAGAGGGTTACTGAGGAGGGGGTCAGCCCTCAGTGGGTAAGTATCAGGTGGGGCAACAGTAAAAACCTTTGGATGTCCCTGGTTTGGAGAGAGTCCTGGAACAATGTAGCTTAAATAGCCAACATTTGTCAGAAGGTCTTTCATCCAGGCCAGAGCATCTTGTCCCCTAACCAAATGATATAAATAACTGGTCCTCCTGGCTGGTGTAGTAGGAAATAGTGCATCAACGTTCATGGCTTGGAGACCTTCATCATGAACATCAGCTACCTGTGCTCTACAGTTCCAGGCTCACCAGGCAATTTGTTTTCTCATGTAGTGGTATCAGTTTAAGATTAAGTTAGTTTGAGAATAAGAAATAACCATGGCACATGAAGGTGGAAATTTATGTCTCTTCATTCTGAAAAATGTAAAGGCAACCCAGGGTTGGCACAGTAGCTCTGCTCCACAGATTCCTCAAGGAAACAGGCTTATTCAAGCTCACCACCCTGCCAAACCTTAGATATGACACTTCACATCATTTTAGATGGTGCTGGGGACTGAATTGTGTCTCTTCCCTCAATTCATGAGTTGAAGCCCAAACCCCCAGTGTGAGGTTACTTGGAGACAAGTCCTTTGGAATGAAATTTAGGTTAGTTGAGGTTATCAGGGCAGGGGGCTGATGATGGAAATAGTGTTCTCATGAGAAGAGATACCAGAGAGCTTGTATTTCCTCCTTTCTTTTCTGTTTCTCTTTCCCTGCCAGACACAGGTGGCCATTTACAACCCAGGAAACAAAATCGGCCAGCACCTTAATCTTGGACTTTCCAGCATCCAGAATTATGAGAAAAGACATTTCCAATATCCTAAGTGTTGGGTTAAACACTAATCAGTGTCTGGAAAGCTTGCAAAGAGATAGGTCTCTAAAAGAATGTGGTAACAAGGGAAGTCGGGAGGGGGCCACTTCCCTTACTTCCAATCATTAGGAAAGAGAGTGACCTAGGAATGAACTCATAAAACGTCTGAAGGAAGTCTACCCTCAAGGTGGGCATGCCACCTATCATATATGTATTCCCTCAGCTTGTAGGCACAGAATGGCCCTCCATGGCATTGTGGCCTGCCACCACCGAGGAGTGAGTAATAAAATGTCTAAAACCTCTCCATTGAGTGCTCCATGTCCTTTCTTTGGGATTGGAAAACACTTTGGGGCCTTTGCAGTCCTGGGGTTGAGCAGTAAGCATCCCAGTCTATTTTTTTGTGACATCCCAGGTTAACTAAGAAAGTGGGCTAGATTTCTGAGTTCCTGAAGATCACCAAAATTACCAATTTGTCACCAGACAGGGCTCTGAGATTCCTCCAAAGAGAAGGGGATCTCAACTGGGCCCCAGGCAGGTTTGTTTTGTTTTGAACCCAGGGCCTTGTACTTGGTAGGCAAGCACTCTATCAATGATGAGTTATGTCCTCAGCCCCCAGGCAGTTCTTTTTTTTTCTTTCTTTTTTTGGCACCAGGGATTGAACTGAGACACTCAACCATTGAGCCACATTCCCAGCCCTTGTTATATTTTTTATTTTGAATGGTTTTGCTGAGTTGCTTAGGGCCTTGATAAGTTGCTGAGATCCTCCTGCCTCAGCCTCCTGGGCTTCTCGAATTATAGATATGAGGTACTGTGTCTGGCCCAAGGAAAGTTCTCCATGTTTTCCACAGAAAATAATTTCAGGAGTTGTCAGTAATCAAGGTACAAACAAAGATTTTAAGGACAGCAAAGGGGTACAAACTCAAAAATAGACTGTGGGTGTCCTCAAGAGGGAGAGATGCATGATGGTCTCAAAATCCTTGTTTGTATGTACTTTTTCAGTGTATACACTTTTTCACATGGTGACAGTGTTCTGGTTCTTACAGCCAATAATAACTTTGCTGCAAGAGACAATTGCTTTTGGAATGTTATTTCAGAATGCTGAACATCGTTGCCAGAAGTCTCCTTTCTCAGCTATGCTTGGTAGTGCATGCCTGTAATCTCAAAGGCTTTGGAGGCCTATATAGGTGGATCACAGGTTTAAAGCCAGCCTCAGCAACGGTGAGGCACTAAGCAACTCAGTGAGACCCTATCTTTAAATAAGTACAAAATAGGGCTGGGGATGTGGGTCAGTGGTTGAGTGCCCCTGAGTTCAATGCCTGCTACCCCCCCCCAAAAAAAAAAAAAAAGAAAAAAAGGAAGAAATCTCCTTTCCCTTTCCTAAGTACAAAATGCAAAATATGTTATGTCCTGGAAAGATTTTAAAAATGGCTACACATTCTTCACACCTCTGTGTACTAATGTTCACAGACTTGTAGTTCTTCACAATAAGTAGTTGGATTTGGATACAAGGTGTCCTCCAAAAGCTTCTGTGTTAATGCAGAATTGTCCCAAGGACCATCCTTGTTTGAATGAACTCACTGGATGATAACTGTAGGCAGGTGGTATGTAGCTGAAGGAAGTGGATCACTGGGGACATGCACCCGGAATGATGCATCTTTCCTGCACCCCTTCCTGTCTCTTTGCTTCCTGGCCACCATGAGGTGAACAACACTTCTCCCCCATGTCCTTCCACCCTGCTCTTCTGCCTCACCTTGGGCCTAGAGTAATGGACTCAACTGACTAAGGAATAAATCTCTGAAACTATGAGCCAAAATAAAACTCCTCTAAGTTGCTTTTGGCCCAGTTGGTTTTTTGGTCAGAGTAACAAAAAGCTAGCATAATACCAGACTCTCCTCTCTATCCCCTGAACATAGGCTCAGCATGTGAACTGTTTTGTCCAGGGAAAACTGTTGCAAGTAGAGGCTGACAAAGTGCCACTGGGGCTTGCTCTCTTCTGCCACTCTAGGAACTCTTGAGGCTACCTACCATATTACAAAGCCCAGAATGGAGCACTGACAAGCGTTCCCAACTGATGAACCCCCCCAACCAACCAGATTGTCAGTGACAAGACATGTAATCCAGGCCATTTCATCCTAAACAACCCATCCTAAAACACTCCAGACTAGAAAAACCCACCCCTTAGTTGACTCACTGAATTAGTAGAAGCAAAAGTGTTCATTGTTTAGTCCACTAAATCTTGGGGCGTTTTATCAAAATGCAAAATCTAATTGTCATTTGCCCATTCTTGAGACAGTCATAGGCAAGAGGAATTCTACTGTTCTTACATAAATCAAGAGACCAACGAAGTTGAGATTTCTATGGTGTTCATGGCTGAATGGAAGAGATGCAAATACCTAAACCAAATGAGGTTTCAACAGGAAGTAAAAGGGGAGGAAGTGTATGCTCAGTTTGGTAACAACATCTAAATATGCTGTATATAAAGCTGTATGTTGCTTCTTTATATAAGAAGGAAAACTAAATTACCATTAGAAATCCCTCTCATAGGAAGTACAATATATTTTATACTATAAAGAATATGAAAATTTTTATATTTTTAAATTCATCCTTTCAGAGCACATGCCTTGTGACCAATCTCCTTCAGTTACACCCCACCTGCCTACAGTTATCACCCACTAATTCCATACAAACTAGACTGGACTGTGAATACCAGTGAAGGCAACAGCCAAGGTGGTCATGTCAAGATTAGCATTGGGTTTTAAAGAAGCAATATGAGTTAGATGGCTGAGGTGGAGGAGATTAGATAGAAGAGAGGGAGAATATTCCAGAAGGCAACCCCTGGAAAAAACAATTGAGGATCAGGAACAGGATAGGGATTTCAGGGTGCCAAGGGGAATTCAATGTTAGAGCAGAATACATGTATAAGAGATGTTGATCTGAGGTCTTTTTTTTGTAGTCCCAATTTCGGAGTTTGTCCTTTATTCTAACATACCAGGAGCATTCGCAGTTCTTAATTGGTGTGTGTGTGTGTGTGTGTGTGTGTGTGTACTGTGATGCTGGTGATTGAACCTAGCGCCTTGTGCATGCTAGGCCAGCCCTCTGGAGGCGCTATTTTAAGCAGATAAAATAATATGCTCCTTAAAATAGCTCAATGCTGAGAGTGCCCCTTCCAACTTCTATCCAGGAACCTTTTCATCCTTCCCACCGCCCTTTGATTAAAAAAAAAAAAAAAATATATATATTTATATTTATTTATTTATTTACTTGGTGGTGCTGAGGATCAAACCCAGGACCTCTGCATGCAAAGCAAGCACTTTACCACTGAGCTACATCCCCAGCCCCCTAACACCGCCCTTTATAATTTTTTTGCAGTATGTGTTCCAGCCGGACTTAATCTTTAGGGAGACATCAGGAACGTGGCTGGGCTTGAAGGGAAACAAGCTGAGCTTGCAGGCTAGGCTCTGAGAGCGCGCCTTCTCCAGGATACCATAGAGATGATCCTCCCAATTCCTAGAAAGGCAGTCGAAGATGTGCAAGAACTCAGCTAACGCACTACCGACCGCGCCACCATTTTTCTGGTCCGAGACTGGAACCCAGTTTCCCGGGTCTGCACAAGCCCCTGAGACCGTAGACACCGCCCAGCGGGAGCCCCGGGATCTCACGGTGAGCGGCACGGGTCCGGAGAGGGGAACGGAGAGGTCTCGGCGCGCAGTGGCTGGGGGCGGCCGGCCGGAGCTTCCTCCCGGGATTGCTGTCTGCGCGTGCAGCCTGGAACCCGGGGCACCCCGGGCTTCTTGGCCGGGTCCAGCCTACAGTCTGACCACTGGCACCACAAAGCCCAGAGCCCAGCTAAGTGTCCAATACAGATGATAAACCTAAGAAGATGACAGTGATTGTATGAATAAATGATGAATGAATGGGATGTGAATGATGGAGAGCTCATAACCATGTCGGAAAACGAAGGCCTGGGGCTCAGAATTCTCGGTCCCAATACCAGTCTCTAACCCCAGCCTATTCTACAACCAAGAATCTTGTTTAGGGACCGTCTTCGTAGTGTAAACCGCACTTAAGTGGGAAGTGTCAGGACCTAAGTTCTAATCCTGGAGAGTACAGAGGCTGCCTCTTGATCTCTAACGTTGCACTGTCAAGTAGTCAGTCGGTGCTCTGTTTTCTTCACCAGGCTCAGAGTTGACAGGGAGTTATGTGACAGCTTGTGTGCAACGTTTGTTTTCCAACAAAATGTTACAATCCATTATCACCAAACATTCATGGAATTCAGGAACAAGGAATAATCAATCAGATTACTCCGTAAGTGGAATTGTAGCTTCCCCAAAGGAAAAATGCTTCTAATCTAGTGCCGGAAGATATGTATATGAGTGGGTTTGAGTGATATTTTATTTTTTGGTTCTTTTTAAAATTGAAGCATTATAATTACACTTGGATAATATTTTTAAACCACATTTATTTAGCACTGTATAAAAGCCAGTTCTAATTTATTTGATCTTCGCAACTGCATATTATCTGTAATTTTTTAAGCAAAGAAAACAGAAACAGAGACAATAGGTTATTTGCCCAAGAACATATTGCTACTAAGTGACCCAAGGTTGTAGAAAAGGTACATGCAAATTGCTGCTACAGCTGTGTGTTATTTAGTGCCAACAGGCAAACTAAGGAGGGTTTCAGAGACTAGTACATTTCACTATAGTCTTACTGAAGAAATTGCAGTTTTAAATTCTTGAAAAACTGCACCTGGGGGCTGGGGTTGTGTCTCAGCGGTAGAGCGCTCGCCTTGCATGTGCGAAGCCCTGGGTTCGATCCTCAGCACCACATAAAAATAAATAAATAAGTGTATTAAAAAAAAACCCTGCACCTGACTTAGACCACTTTAGGTAATTATTGAAGGGTAAGGAAGTAGCAGTGAAGAAGTAGTTTAAGAGATATGAGAAGGAAGCCAGCTCCCTATTAGATTAGCAAGATGATGTATTAAAGATCCTTTCTCATGATGGGAGTGGTGGCGCATGCCTGTAACCCCAGCAGCTCCAAGGTTGAGGCAGGAGGACCACGAGTTCAAACCAGCCTCAGCAAAAGCGAAATGCTAAGCAACTCTGAGACCCTGTCTCTAAATAAAATACAAAATAGGGCTGGGGATGTGGCTTAGTCAATGAATGCCCCTGAGTTCATTCCCTGCTACCCCTCCCCAAAAGATCCTTTTTCCTTTTGCCCTTTATTATAATATCCGTCTTCCCCTAGATCTGCAGATAGATCATTTTAGCATCTTAAAATCACTAACAATCTGGGGGTGAGGTTGTGGCTCAGCGGTAGAGCACTCGCCTAGCACATGCAAGGCATTGGATTCAATCTTCAGCACCCCATAAAAATAAATAAAATAAAGGTATTGTGTCCAACTATAACTAAAAAATAAAAATATTTTAAAAATTTCACTAACAATCCGATTACTCCACAATAGACACTTAGGGAAGCATATGTACTTTCCTTTATAGGTAGTATATAAGACTGTGGGTCAGCCAACCGAGGGACATGGGCCAAATTTGGCCTACATATTTTTTGGTAAAATTTTATTGAAATACCGCCAAGCTCATTTATTTACATATAGTCTATTGCTGTCTTAAAATTACAAAGGCAACTTTTAAAAAAAATAATGTTCTTCTCACTCTTTTTTTTAAAGAGAGAGAGAATATATATATATATATATATTTTAGTTTTTGGCGGACACAACATCTTTGTATGTGGTGCTGAGGATCGAACCTGGGCCGCACCCATGCCAAGTGAGTGCGCTACCTCTTGAGCCACATCCCCAGCTCGAACAAAGGCAACTTTGAAATTGCAACAGAAAGAGAGTTTAGTTGATGAAGCCTAATATGCTTTCTGGCCCTTTACAGAAAAAGTTCCCTGCCCCCTCAATTAGACAATATAGTAACAGCTCAGATGATCCATGGTTAGAGAAGAGGGGTCATCACCAAGTCATCTTTCCTTCTATATAGGTTTTTTGATCAAAATAACATCCAACACATCTTGTGTGCATACCATGTCACAGATATTTCTATGAATTCTTTACAAGAACTAATTCATTTAGTCCATGATTCAGAGAATTTTGGAGTTGGAATGTCTTAATGGAAATTATCCAATTATCTTTTCATTTAAGAAGCCTGTCTGTCAGGTAGACCCACTCATATGGCAGGATAAAGTTCTGACTCCCTGTCCAGTCCACTTCCATCTCATTCTGAATGGAAGACCACTACCATATCCATTGAATCTGATTTTTTTTAATTTTGTTTCAGGGTTTTTCTTTTTTTTTTTCCTTTGGTGCTGAAACCCATGTTTTAAAAATAACTTTTCTGGGGCTGGGGCAGTGGCTCAGTGGTAGAGAGCTTGACTAGCATGTGTGAGGCACTGGGTTTGATTTTTAGCACTACATATAAATAAGTGAATAAAATAAAGGTCCAACAACAACTAAAAAATTTTAAAAAATAACTTTTCTGACTAATATAAAAGTAACAAATTTATGTTTACTAAAGCAAAAATTGAGTATATACAAGAGTATAAAGTTACAAAGTAAAGTGACTTGTTTACTGATCTGGAGATAACTATATTAATTTTGGTGAATTTTATTTTCTATTTTAAATGTGTGTATTCTGCTAAGTTGGTGTATTAATAACTTCTTGGGCTGGGGATGTGGCTCAAGCGGTAGCGCACTCGCCTGGCATGCGTGCGGCCCAGGTTCGATCCTCAGCACCACATACAAAGATGTTGTGTCTGCCGAAAACTAAAAAATAAATATTAAAAAAAATAATTTGTTTACTCAGAGCTTACTTAGTATATGCATATATATTTTTTTTGGATTGGTGTCTTATATCCATTTGCTTCAACATAAAAGTATTTTCTCATGAATATTCTTTAAAACTATGATCTTTACAGTTTAGTAACTTATATATATATTCTATCAATGTATTTTGCCTGTTTTTTAAAATTATAGTAACAATGTGATCTATGCACAAAAATCTTGGGAACCATCTGATTGTATTTTTTTTGCTTTTTTTTTTCATCTGATTATAGATGTTATTTATTTCTATGGGAAAATGTTCAAATATTACAAAAAGATCAGCTCTAAAGCAAAAGTGTATTGCAATTTTATACCTCAAGGATGATCACAGATAGCAATTTGATATCAATTCTCATATTTAAGTTAGAATTTTTTTTAAAAGAGTAAAGTAAAATATAGACAGTAGAGGAATTTAGGGAAAATTATTTATAATTCAGTATCACTACAGTAATTATTTTTCCTTCTTGATCTTATTCACATTCACCAAACAAACATATTTCATATGTTTGCTTCATATATGTTTGTTGAAAAGATCAGTGTGAATAAGATCAAGAAGAAATTTTAATATTCTGCATTTTAATTTATATATTTGCATAAGTAGTTTTCCAAATTGTCCATATTTTCGTTTTAATTACTGCTATGTTTCTATAATTTCCACTAAGTGGAAGTACCATGATTTGCTAAGCTTCAATGTCTACCAACAGAAAAATTATCTCCAACAACATTGCAGGGGATATTTTTTTACATGAAACAAAATTCCAGTTTTTGTTTCCCTCTGAGAACTTCTCTATGAGAAAGTTCTAGTAATAGAATTACTAGGTGAGAGAATGCAGGCATTTTGTGCTTTACTTTCATGATTTCAATTACTCTATGTCAAAAACTCTAGGGGGCTGGGGGTGTTCAGTGTTGAAGTATATGCCTAGTGTGTGTAAGGCCCTGAGTTTGATCCCCAGCACCACCAAACAAAACAAAGAACACTCTCAGTGTTAAGTGTTTAGCTCATACCTCTCTCCTCTATTCCAGATATGTTTTACTTTTCCTTCAGAAATTTCAAAACTAAATGTATCTTTTTCTTCCCCAGTTCAGTGTTCCCACTTCACTGTATGTCACTATCATCATTGAAGCCATAAACTTGCCAATTATTCTTGACTTATCTTTCTCACCTCCTTCCCACAATACTCATCCAGTCCTGATGATTCTGTCTTATAGTTTGTCCAGTGCCCTTTCTGCATATTCAAACAGCCTCACAGAGACTCGCAGCCATGCACTCCCACCCTCTACCCTTTGCATGCACTCTTTCCATGCTGTGGGCAGAGGAATGTTTTTATACAATAGTAGATTGAATCATATATTTTATAAAATCTTTTGTGACTTTCTGTTCACTTTAGGGTTAAATCCTTAAATGGTTTGCAGGATTCTGTTTGATCTGGGCTTTCCTTGCCCTAAGGCTTTCTATCTGATTTCTAGTGCATAACAGTTTAGCTGTACTGAGTATTTTTCATTCTTTCAAAGTTTTGTGCTTGATTCCTTAGGAATCTTATGTTTAGTTTCAGATATAGTTTATTTACTATATTAGTAAATATAGTATACTCCTGTCTAGTTCCTATTTGTCTCCTTAACAGAGGCTTGGTTTCCTATATTCCTATATTTTCTATATTCCATAGTACCCTATACTTTCACTTTTGTTAATTCCCTTTTTTGAAATTATTGATTTAATTTTCTTTGTTTAGATATGATAACAAGTTCAAGACTGGCAAGGGCATTATTTGACTATTCCCCCAAACCCCTCAGTGTCTAGCACTGATTACTCTCAAATTCTACTCTGCTGTTTGAGTTTCTTTAGGATTGTGTGATACCTCTTTAGGATTGTGTGCCCTGTTATGTTCCTCCTCTGAAAGAGACCCAGGAAAGCCTACACATGATCTTCTTAAGAATATTCAAAACTCGGGCTAGGGATGTGGCTCAAGTGGTTGTGCACTCGCTTGGCATGCGTGCGGCCCGGGTTCGATCCTCAGCACCACATACAAAACAAAGATGTTGTGTCTGCCAATAACTAAAAAAAAAAAAAAAAAAATTAAAATTCTCTCTCTCCCTCTCCCTCTCCCTCTCTCTCTCTCTTTAAAAAAAAAAACATTCAAAACTCAAAACAGGAATTTCACAATTAAAGTTTTTTTTTTTTCTTTTAAAGAGCAACTTATGTGCTCATATTGAGGGGGCTGGGGATGTGGCTCAAGTGGTAAGGCTGTCGCCTGGCATGCGCGGGGCACTGGTTTTCGATCCACAGCACCACATAAAAATAAAATAAAGATCGTTATGTGCTCATATTGAGCTGCCTGCTTGAATAAAAAATTGTTTCATTGATATAACATCTAGAAGAAAGGACAATCAGTATATTTTTAGTTTGCATTAGAGTTCCCTAGGCATGATCCAGGTTAATTGACATATGGTGGAAATTAATGAAACAGATCTAATGCATTAGGCTTTGCATGAAGCCATTTTCCTGTGCAGCTTATGATTATATTAACTGACTTTTAGTAAAGATTATTGTATAATGAACAGAGAGCACTAAGTGACATGAATATTCATATCTGTCTAATCTTTGTCTTTATAATTTAAGGTAAAAAATAACATTTGGATTTATTCATCAAGTGCTTGAGCATTGGACAGTCTGTCTGAGTCTACCACTTCCTGAACAGCTGAAAAATGGTGTTTGTGAACCTAGATGGCTGCATGCCAACCCCAATTTTTCTGAAATAGTCACACTACTATCCTGAGAGGTATTGTGTGTGTTATTAGTTTCCCCAAACAACAATTGTTATTCATTTTTCTGTTTGCTGGGAAAATGATATCTGCCAACGGAACCATTTTCCCCCCATGAGCAGGGTTGGTGGTTTTCCAAGCCTGAAGTCTTTTCTAATCAAAGCAAGGAGAAGATTTGTGGTTGTTGAATATGCAAGGAGCTGAAGAGAAAGCTACTGAAAGAGACACTTGTTCAGGTGAGTGAGTATAGGACAATGTATGAGACATAGCCACCCAGTAGGAAGGGTTTGAAAATTTTAGAAGAGAAACAGATTAATGCTCAGGAGATAAAATTACTCTCTCTCACAGGAATGTTGGGAACAGGTATGGATGAGCATCTCCAGGGCCACCTTTTTCCTGGTACTCAATAAATCTTTATCATTTCCAGCATTTGCCTTTTAAAATTCTCCCATTATCCACTTTTTGAATAAAACCCATCTACATTACCCATTTTGGTTTAATCTCAGCCTCTGCAGTGTCTGTTATTTTCCATTTTTACTCTTGCCTGTGATTGACTCACTCCACAGGTGCCTTGCTGCCCATTCCATGAGGTTCCTCATCAGTGGTGATCACATTACCCTAATGTCGATCTCTACCAACTCTGACTTATTTGCCATGCTTGCTTTTATTATTCTATACTCATAGGCCATTACTGAGACCTGTGAAAGTTGGGGTCCCACAGTTTCAGCGACCAGCTCTGTCAGACACAAGAGATATTTACTGTGGTGATTTCTTTTAGGTTGGAAGAACAAACCTGTTGCAAAGCAGGGTGTTGTTCAAATTGATCCACCAGGGAGAATAGCAAAGAGATTCCAAGAGGATGAACAGCAGGGTTCTATGTTGGAAGAAAAATATGCCAGTGAGGACATAAAGGAAAATTCTTGGGAAGAGGCTCCTGGGCCAGGAGGTTTTGGGGGAATAAACTTTATCCACGGAGAAGCATCCCCTGAAATGTTTAGTCAAGAATATAATTTTGAGAAAAGCTTGCTTTTGACCTCAAGCCTTGTTACACATCTCAGGGTTTCTACAGAAGACAGTCTGCAGCAGTGGGAAACATGTAATATACATACAAGTGAGATTTCAGACCATAGTAAGTGTTCAACTCTCTCCACACAGAAAAAATCTTGGCTATGTCAGGAATGTGGAAAAAACTTCACTCAGAGCTCATCCCTTACCCAACATCAGAGAACTCATACTGGAGAGAGACCCTATGCATGCAAAGAGTGTGGGAAAGCTTTTAGTCGTAGCTCATTCCTTGTTCAACATCAAAGAATTCACACTGGAGTGAAACCATATGGATGTGAGCAATGTGGGAAGGCCTTTCGATGTCGATCATTTCTTACTCAGCATCAGAGAATCCACACTGGAGAGAAACCTTACAAATGTAATCAATGTGGAAATTCTTTCCGCAATCATTCACATCTTACTGAACATCAGAGAATTCACACCGGAGAAAAACCCTATAAGTGTAATAGATGTGGAAAGGCATTCAGTCAGAATACACACCTTATACATCATCAGAGAATTCACACAGGTGAGAAACCTTATTTATGTAATGAATGTGGCTCTTCTTTTCGTAAACACTCAAATCTTATGCAACATCAGCGAATTCACACTGGGGAAAAGCCACATAAGTGTGATGAATGTGGGAAAACCTTTCAAACAAAGGCAAACCTCTCTCAGCACCAGAGAATTCATACTGGAGAAAAACCCTATAAATGTAAGGAGTGTGGTAAAACCTTTTGCCAGAGTCCATCTCTTATTAAACACCAGCGAATTCATACAGGAGAAAAACCCTATAAATGTAAGGAATGTGGCAAAGCTTTTACTCAGAGCACCCCTCTCACTAAGCATCAGAGAATTCATACAGGGGAAAGACCCTACAAATGCAGCGAATGTGGCAAAGCCTTCATCCAGAGCATTTGCCTTATTCGGCATCAGAGAAGTCACACTGGAGAAAAACCCTATAAATGTAAGGAATGTGGCAAGGGCTTTAATCAGAATACCTGCCTCACTCAGCATATGAGAATTCATACTGGGGAGAAGCCCTATAAATGTAAAGAATGTGGGAAGGCCTTTGCTCATAGCTCATCTCTTACGGAACATCATAGGACTCACACTGGTGAGAAGCTCTATAAATGTAGCGAATGTGAAAAAACCTTTCGCAAATATGCACACCTTAGTGAACACTACAGAATTCACACTGGTGAGAAGCCGTATGAATGCATCAAATGTGGAAAATTCTTCAGACATAGTTCAGTCCTTTTCAGACATCAGAAACTTCACAGTGGTGATTAATCCTGGCATTTAGCTTATGATGGTTTCTCTAGAAAGAGTACCTAAGAATCTGGCTGGGAGGAGAGGGGCACATAGGGAAGATGAGACTTGGCTGCTCTTCTCACGTGGAAGTGGGAACCTGGAGGATGCAGAACTTACTCCAGGTGGACATCTTGGAATACTGGGTAAAAAAGAAAAAACAGTTTTTCAGATAAAGCTGGCAGATTACCACTCCTCTCTCCATATGACTACACCAAAAGGGCAGACATTTGTTAAGTTAGCACTTGTGTTTCCTTTACCATACTCCACCCAGCCTTCTGACTTTGTCACCCAAGTACAGTGGCTGATGTGGAAGTGACAGCAATCTGATATCGTTCTGAGGTTTAACTTCCAGATGTTTGAGGCAGCTGTGACCATTCCATGATAGGGAGGCTCCCTGATCTGTAGAAGTAGTCCTGTGAGTGGGATACAGAAACAAGTGGGGGAAAAAAAAGAACCTATATTCATTCATTCAACCAAATAACAGGATGTGGCCAAAACTGGGCTGATCTGTACAGATGTTCTGTTGAAGATGACATTCATTGGGGTGAGAAAGATCTTTCTGATGCTTTTAAGCCTGTGGGTGACATGAAGCTAAGAAGAAAATAGAAGACAAAGAGAGTTTGCCATTTTATTGAAAGACAGGTCTGCTCAGGGGAAGGGAAAGGAAAATCCAACTTCTGTCACAGAAGAATACTAGTTTAGGAGAGAAGTGGTCTGTTGTGGACTAATAGTGATAAGAGGCTTCAGAATAGAAAGCCTGAATGTGTCTGAGGAAGCCATATATATATAACCTTGCTTGTCCTAAGGAGTACATCTCTGTGTTAAAAGTTTGGCTAGGCCACTGGTTCACAGGAACTAGTGTAGAGGGACCCACTATGAATAACAAAAGGGACTTGGGTATTGGCCTTTAGGAGAAAGCTTTAGTGATGAAAGAAGACAGCCTTTTATGCTGGCTGGAGTTTCAGACTCCTGGGCTAGTCCTTAATAGAGTGTTGGAATTTGTCAATGAATTTGGAAAGAATTCTAAATCCCTGTAAATCAAAATAACAGTTTATTGCTGAAATTACAGTTTACCCATTATTTCCTCAGTCCCTTTCATGTACTTAACTGCCACCCAGAAATTGAGCTCCATAAGATTAAGGACTTTGAGCAGTATTTGAAATAATTTCCTAAGTTCTGAAGCTTATATAATTTTTAAAATATGAATATAAAAATCACCTAAAGTAAGTTGATTCTGGAATGCTTAGTTATTTGTAACTGCAGATATATCCAGAACTTCTGTCTTGCAAGCATCAGTGTAACCATTCATAACTGTTAATAGGAATGTGATACAAGTAACATATTTGCTTTTTCCTCTCTAGCTGTGAAGTTTATGTTCTGAAGACCTACAACAGATGAAATCATAATTGAGGAAATTAATACCTTGTTTACAAAAAAATAACCCTATGAAATATTTCTGAATATTTTATGCTCATGAAAATATATATTTTACTGAAAGTAAATATCAATGTGTTTATACTTCCTAAATGAAAAATAACAGTATAGAAGTAATGCTGGTACATAGTTTATTAAATATTTGGTAAATTATTACATTAATTATATATATTCTTATATTTTAAATTCTGGTGAAAAAGATTTTCTAAAATGGAATGGATATGACCTTGAATATTTAGTCTTTGGACAATTATAGTCTGCACATTTTTATTTCATGGGGAAATAGAAAAAGATTTCATCATCTTTCCACTGCCCTCAGCCCATATTCTCACATTTACACATAACTGCTCCTAATTTTATTTTCAGTTGTTGGCCCTTAAATGTGCCTTGTCTTTTCAGTGTGTCCCTAAACCTAAAAATTGCCATCCCCTTCAACCTTTTCTTTTATTCAGTTTTCATATTAGTCCAACTCCTGTTGACATTATGTCCTAAATCTAGAAGCCATCTCCCTTTAGTCTAGTTCTCCAGGTTATTTTTGAGACTATTTTCAGTTTTTCTAAATAGTCTTTCAATTTCTACCACCACAAAGCCATCTTTCATTTTTCTTCTAGATGATTTTTCTAATCCTAATTGTATGCCTTATTAATTTCTCTTAGAATAAAGTCCTAGCCCTCTAAAGAAACATCTGAGGCTGCTCATTCATCTCATGACTACGTCTCCATCCTCAGCTGCCATTTGTTGTCCAGTACATTCTGCTTGATGGTGCAGATTTCTTTAGTTCTGCAGCATTGCCACTGTAATCTGGTACATTCTTGCATATAATATTTCTGTTGCCTCCCTTTCTTGCTTTGGCTTTCCTGGAGAGTTTGTATGCATTATTCATCAATGTGCTCAAGTGACAGCATAAAACTGCCTCTAACCTCACAATTTTTATTCTGTATTCTATACTTTTTATCGTTTTGTCATCTTACATGATAATGGGTTGTTTACAAACCTTTCTTTTCCCACTGAACTGTACAGTCCACCAGGGCTCAGGCAATGTGATATTCATCTTTGTATCCACAGTATCTGGCACTTGAAAATTACTCAGTAAATACTTGTTGAGCTCAACCAAAATACTGAGTTAGACATTTCTCCAGCCAGTCTGCCCATTGTAACTTAAGTCCCTATATATCAGCAGAAAGGAGATAATGTGAGTGTATGTGTCTTTTAAGTGTTTGCCATGAGCAAGAATTCTGACCTCTCTCATATATATATATAATATTATAATATAATATATATATAATTTGAATTTTGAATTATGTAGAGGACTCCATAATAAGAATAGTTTGCAGCCAAGGAAGTTTATTACAAATTAAATAAAGTTCTATCACAAGAAAAAAGAATGTATGTAGATGGAGAGACACGTACATCATCTGTAATATCCATGAACTAAAAAGGTAAACAGGAACTGAAGAGTAATGCTGGTCTGGTATGATAACACTTGTAATTGAGAAATCCCAGAGTAGAAGTGTTTCTGGAGCTCATGGCTTGTCTAGGTCTTTAGGATGATAGATAGATTTTCTTGCTTATTCTTAGTTCTTTAAAATTTAATGACTTCAGAAGGATGGGGCTACATCAAATCCTTTGAACAACAGAAGATAAAATATGCAATTGGCCTTTCCCAAAGCTACATAAGCAGTGTCATGTAAATGTAAAATTGCAGTGTCCTTTTTTCATTCACATTTCTCTTTGTCTTACCTCTGTTCCATATACCTCTTTATTTTATCCATTAGGTAACTGGCCACTGAGGGCTCCATCCTATCCCCTCATCTGGAGGATAGGAGAAACTCACTCTATAAGATCAGCAGTTTTTGCCCTCCAAATTTGATTTTGCATTTAACCCCTCCCTACTTGCCACATAAGGCAAAACTCCTAGCCTTGACTAGATGACACAGTTTCATTTCCCTGCATCCTATGGCCACATCAGGGCCAGGGATTTTTTTAATTGGGTGGAATATTTTTGGCATCCATCTTTACCATCCTTTTCTCACCTCATTAAAAGAAGTTCAGCCCCAAATGCTTTTAAGCCCTAGAATACTGATTCTAATGTACTGCTCAATTGAGTGTGCCCCACTACAGGCTTAATTTCCATACAGAGGAGCCTGCTGATTTAGATTCTTTGAAGCCCAAAAGATAAGTGAAAAGTGACCAGACCCGGGCTTTCTTGCCTATGGCATATTAGGACTGTGGGGAAGAACTTGCTCTGCCATACCAAAGTGCTGAGAATGTTGACACTTGATAACCCTCCACGATTTTTTTCTTTTTGGTGCTGGGGATTGAACTCAGGGGCACTCAACCACTGAGCCACATCCCCAGCCCTATTTTTTATTTTATTTAGAGACAGGGTCTCACTGAGTTGTTAAGTGCCTTGCCATTGCTAAGACACAATCCTTCTGTCTCAGTGTCCCGAGCTGCTGGGATTACAGGCATGCGCCCGGCCCGGCCTCCACTCTTAATTTCAGTCTTCTAAAAGGGCTCTGTTTGGGCGTCTGGAATTTCAACATATCTTCTTTGCTGCATCACATTCATTTATTTTGGTGTTTATTAAGTTCAATACCATATTCTGCACACTATGGATATGATACAACACTGTTCTGTGCATTTGCATGGAAGTGAATCAGTTGTTCTGCGACCCATAAATTCCATCACTGGGATACATGTGAGGATGAGCCCATGTGTGCAAATATTTTCTGAATGAGCACCATCAAGATCTGAAGGTTTGCTGAAGAAAATGGGAATGCTATTTTGGGGGGTTGGAAAGGTCACTGACGCCAAGGCAGTACAACGGAATGGAGAAGGGACTTGAGAAAGGTGGTAGTTAAGTGCCAGATGTTCTTGTAATTTACATGTATTAATCGGTTATTTCTCGCGACAACTCTGAATTTGCTGCCATTGTTGTTTTATAAATGAGAAAGCAGGCAAAGAAATACAAACTAACTTGCCTCCTGTTTACACACCGAAAACCTGGGATTTAAGCCCAAAGCAAAGCAGAGCCCTTATTAAATAAACTAACCAGTAAGATGCTTGGGGTTCCTACTTTCTGGCAGGTGAGACTACATGTGAGGAAAACTGAAGACAGCTAGGAGAAAGCCATGAGAATCCCTAGACGACGGTGATGTAGGCAGACATGTGACAGGACTGCAGGGTGAAATGATGCAGTAAGAGCCTCTTGTGGTCCATCTCCGTGTTCTCCTCCGTTCAGCTTCTTAAACAGGGACGCGAGAAGTTGAAGTGGGCTTCTGGGCTGTTCTCGGAGCCGTGACTCAAGGGCAGAGCACGGCACCCGAGGCTCGGTCGGGAAGAACCATAGGCCGGAACTCGCCGCGT